GAGTTTTTGTAAGGAAACATTTTTGGACCGTAGTTTATAAAGCAAACTAACATTAATTTTTCATGTAGATTCACACCCTTAAATGTTCGCATGTCATTAAGGAACACTTTGTCAAATGTTTTCAAATAATTTTATGAATGTCTGGATTAATTATCGCATCTTCAACATTCTCAACCATCTGTAGCTGCTTTTTGAACATCATGTCTTTCCTATAAAACATCGATCGGTTGATCTCTGTCCGTAAGTTCATCATATACTAAGTGACATATAAATCCGAACACCCAGTTTAAATGGTTTTATTTTAATAAAATTTTGTATAAGTACTTAATGAAGCATAATAAGTAAATGATAAAAATTTCAAAATGATTGCACTGCTTTAAAGCCCTTTGACCTTTAATAATGTGTGGATGCACCCTGATGTGCTACGCATTCTCCAACGCGCCTAGGCATGCTTCTGATCAGGTGGTCAATGTCCTCCTGTGGTATCTCATTCCAGGCAACCACCAACTCCTCTCGAAGTGCTTCTAGAGTCTGAGGAGGACGTTGCAAATTGAGCAATCTCCTACCCATCATATCCCACACGTGCTCAATTGGGGATAAGTCGGGAGATCTTGGTGGCCATGGTAACAATGTGACATCATTATATTGAAAGAAGTCTATTGTGACTCTTGCAACATGTGATCGGGCATTATCTTGTTGGAAAGTTGGATCTGCCAGGGTGTCAAGAGAGGGTAAAAGATGGGGTTCTAGAACTTCGTGGATATAACGCTGCGCGTTCATGTTACCTCTGATGAAGATTAAAGGTGACCTGGAACCATAAGCTATAGCACCCCAAACCATAACTCCAACAGTGTGATGAACATGTCTTTCAACAAAAAACTGTGGTGGATTCCTCCTTTCACCACGTCGCCTTCTAACCCTGGCACGACCATCGTGCATGCCTAAACAAAAGCGAGACTCCTCACTAAAGACAATACTGTTCCATTCCTGATCCCAGAGTGACCGTTGTCTGCACCACTCAAGGCGATTACGTCGGTGTTCTCGAGTTAAAGGGAGGACCCAGTGTGGCCGGTATGAAAACAAGCCAAAACTTCTCATTCGTCGGTAAACACTTCGCATGCCAATAGGTCTTCCGTGTTCTGCAAACCATTCATTTGCAATGGACCTGGTAGTGGAGAAACGGTCTTGGGCGGCGATCTTCACGGTCTGTTGTTCTACGGCGGCGTCCAGTGCCTTGCTCTTTGCGTACGGCCTTCTCGAAGCCATGCCTGACAACACCTAACCACAGTGTCTACACTTCTTTGCACTCTAACTGCAATTGCCCGAAAAGAAAGTCCAGCTTCACGAAGTCCCACTATACGGCCCCTATCAACCTCACTAAGTTGACGAAATCGTACAGGTCTCCGTACTCTAGGCATCGTAACCGATCGTAAAGGATATCAAGAACCAAAATCCGCCAACGTTGATTCTTTACTGCGGCTGAAATATTCATTTTTAGAGCGTTAGTGAATTAAAAAAAAGCAGTATAAAAACCGGAATGTCCAACTGATAAGGCTGAAAATTGTTTCACTTTGTATTTACAGTAAGATAAATACATTCACCAACTTTTATTAAAATAAAACCATTTAAACTGGGTGTTCTGATTTATATGTCACTTAGTATACATTGTCGATAGATAACATTCCTCTAACGGACGGTTTTCTGATTTTTTCACACCGACGCTCATGCGTGGAAATAAGCGTGAAACGGCACCATATACGATTGGTTAGACGAAAGCACTATAATTACTCAATTTTAATATGTGGTCGTGAATCAAGCGGTGTATAGAGTCTTATTTGCTGTGACCGAAAATCTACTGCTTTTCCCACCTTTTCTCAATTCCTCTCAACGATACAACAGTTTTGCTGGGAAGTTGCATCTGTCGATATAAAAAGATCCTCCTTTAATTAAATACATAGAGGGAGTTGCAGAAGATGAAATAGTAGTCGATAAAAATGGAGGAACACAGAGAAGACGCGAAGCTGTTGTGCGAAAGCTCTTTTGAAAGTAATCCAATATGGTGGAGTGAAAGGAACGACCGAAGCCATAATATAAACGATACTTTTCTTCGTTCGCGAGCTCGTCGTAAAAAAGTTCACGGCCCTTTGTTATTTTCGATATGCGGGAAACAGGCGGTTTTCATCATTGGCTTATAAAGGAAATGACAGCCATATCGGAAGATATATTAACGACGGTGCGGCACTCTCACGGAAAATTCCTAATAAATTTTGAAATATACTTCGTCCATGATTTATTATAAGTCTGTCGTTGTCTACTTTTACGATGCCGTTTTTTTGTTTCTCAAAACCATAAGTGGGTCCAAACATACATGTGATCTTTTCATCATATTTGTAGCTGCTGTACTGAGCAGTCGCTAGGCTGTGAACACAACCTAGGGAGGAATGGCTCAACGCTGAACTCGCAGTTTAGGCCATATAAGGTATGAAGGACCTCTCCTAGTGCCATCTCTGAAGTAGATCTTATCCGAGCCATAGCAAGTACTGTCTTTTCTCGAGTATCAATACGGTAGAACAAGAGATTATTATTGATACGTGACACACGGTTCTGTCGCTTCCGTCAAAGAGCCGTATTTTGTTGTGTTTTTTGTACGCTACGGAATTTATAATTTTGTACTTGCTAACAACTATTTTTTTAGAAAAGTTCCTTTATTATACAAAAAATTGCTACAAACAAAATGGCTGCCAATTATCATGATTATACTCGTATTTCAAGTAAGGGAGGACTAAGAGAATATGAACAGTTTTTGATTGTGTTAAATCACCTCTACTATTTAGGCCCGTATCGTCAGTCATCCCTACAATTGAAGGGCCCGGTGCAATAACCGACCACGTGCACATTTCTTAGTTTTGAGAAAAATGAGAAAAACTCGTTATTCACTCATAGTTAAAGTGTTGCGAAATTTGTTATTTTGCAGCCTTTTTGGCCAAAAACTCATTTTTTCCATCAATATATGCACAAATATTTACTTTAGATTTTTTGAAATCTGAAATTGAACCTTCCACGTGGACGGTTATTGTCACCAAAATGGGAGGAAATCTTATAAAAAAAGAAGAAATGCTATTATTTTAAAAAAAAAAAAATTCTTTATTGGGTATAATAGAACTACTCAATAAACAAAGTGCATACTAACACTTAAGTAACGTAAATAAATAATTTAAACGACAATCAAACGAAACAGAACAGTCTGAATAAGGTATATCGAACTAATCAATAAAAAAAGTGCATACATCACTTTAGTAGGTAACCCAAAGAAGTAATCAAACGAAACAGTACAGTCTGAATAAGCTCTAATCAGAATCCCCATCTGTCCTTTCGATCGTATCATAAACTGTTTGACAAATGGGGGGCACATATTTTCTCACTAATGGCATAATGCTATCGTATTTAGCTGCTTTCAGTGGTAGCTTCTTGTTATATGCTAGAGGAGCTCTGTTTAGGTCAATAGGGGTACCTGCGCATTTATTTAAGGGATATGAGATTGTAATGGCAGGATTATGTGTTTGAGATACTGAAATATTCTCAGGGAATGTAGAATCATATATAAATAATCTATATTTCAATAATGTAAATGGTTGTTTTTTAACCACAGAAGTTTTTAAAAAAAAAGGCTCGAGATATGTTTTAAAATCAAACACCATATCCTGTGTTACTCTTTCAACGGTAAACTTCTTACCACAGTTTTCTAGTAACGAATACCATTCTTCAGGCAAATACAAAAGATCTTTTTTACGTTTCTTTTTTTCAATTTGTGCAAAATCTCGGTCACATGGCAAAAAGCTATGACCTGGCTCTGGCAAATGATGCACTATTTTAGAAAATCTTCCGTTGTTGACTAAAGTTGACAGAAAGCGGACCATTGCCCCATTTTTATTTTGCCCCCCACAGTTGTCTGTAAAGATATGCAAAACGGTAACTGACCTGCTTATATATTTGTTAATGAAATGCCACAAAAAGGATACTGATTCTATAGAGCCTTTCTTCGCTACAGTTTCGTCAGACATATAACTAACCGATTTGTTATTGGAACAAGAGTAGAAAAGCTGATTATATACACAAATCTGCCTAGCATAAAATATGTCCCCTGTAGTCAACACCGGAACAGGCAAATTTTGCTGGTAATCGAAGCAAATAGTCTCCACAGTTTCGTTAGTTCGTGCCATTTCAGTTTTTTCTTTCAAATCGTCGTAGAAAGCTTGAGCTTTCCGAAGATGAACATCTTTTTGAACTTTTAGTTGCTGCTTAAGTTCATCCGTAGAAGCGGCATCAAGTTGTATTTTCAGTAGGTCACAAGTAGCACAAGTGTCCGAACGCGGATATCCGAATGGCAAATTAAAATGTTCTGTAAAATACCTATAATAGTAGTCATACGTTACTTTAGGTTTCGCTTTTTCATGGCTTTCTATCAGGCTGTACTGTTCAGGTTCGTATTTTTGCAAATAAAGTTCATGCATTTTGCGGACATTCAACTCTGCTGGTAGGTACTTCTTTTTATTTTCATTTCGTGAATAGTGTGATTCACGTGCTGGAAAACTGTTTATATGGTCCTCAATCTGTGCTACAACATTTTCCGGTAATTTGTTTGGTCGGTTATGGTGCTTACCACGGGAATCCTTTTGAAGCAGCAGACCAGAAACTCTTGACTGTGAAATTCTTGTTACTCGTGATCTGTGAATCGCATGCAAGTTACAAAATGCTGTGCGGCACACTTTTTCAGTTTTTGAAGAGATTTTAATACTATAACGACAATCACATCTGAATCCCTGCTGTTTTGCTTCAATAGTTTTACCTCCACTACTTTTATATTCTTTGCCAGAATTCCTTTCCAACTTTCTTACATTTCTTTTCCATGCTTGAGGAGTGCGCTGTCGTTTTTTACCCTCTTTTATTAGAGGCTTTTCTGCAGGTTCATCTGCATTAAAAGAAATATATGCATTACAAAGCTAGTGAACAATACTAGACCACTTACCTTCCTCAGTTGAGCTGCTTGAGTTGTCGCCTGCAGTAACATGCTTTGAGATAGGTGTCTGATTTATACCTGACGTACTAGCTTTATTTATTTCTTCATCTACAAGGAATTATTTACATCATTGTTATTTTTATCATTTTTTAAAGTTGATCAAATTACCTTGTTCCTTATCGTCGTTCAAAGCATGTTGGTCAGTAACAGAATAGGCATTACTTAATGATTTAATAAAACACTTTCTGCCATTTTTGTTGCCATTCTCACTTTCCAATACATAATCTGGGTCCATATCATAATTATCGGAGTCATGGTATGGATCACCTTCACTGGAAAACTCACTTGAGCTGTCCATTTTCACAAGGCGATGTGCACTCCACAAACGTCAGAAAAGTAAGGTTAGACCTTGCTCAAGTTTGAGCGCAAAAACCGGCTATGTGTGTCACGTGGCCGCTTGTTGCGCCCAATAATATTGATGGTGAGAACTACGTCAGGGATATATTTGGTGCAAAAAGCGACCACGTCGATTTAAGTGGAGTTTTATACACAATCCGTGTAATGTTCTTGCTCCAAACGACGCGGATACATTTTTCAAAGCAAAAAAAGTCATAATCTCAATTTTGACAAAATTGGTCTTTGGCCGGTTTTTGCACCGGGCCCTTCAATTGTAGGGCGCGTTTATGGCCTCCTTGATTGTCACACTCCGTTCTCTCCTTCAAAAATTTCTAGATTACACTTGTTCCGTGTCAGCGTCAGCGCTCTCCTATTGTGAAGATATGTTTTCTTTTTAAATTGTGGGAAATTTCAGGCTGATAAAACATGATATAACTCAAAAGCAAGCACAATTTGATGAAAATAGATGTTTGTGACATAACCTCAAAATAGAGTTCTGACACGGAGAAGTAGCAAAAATATGACAATCAAGGAGGCCATAAAGGCGCCCTACAATTGTAGGGACGACTGACGATACGGGCCTTAGAACTAGGAACACCATATGACTTTAAAGGGCAATGAAACAGCTATGTTTAAATTACGTTACTCTGATGACGGACAATTAACCAGCTACTGGAAAGAGCAACGCAGTCTATTTTATTGACTTCCCTCGTAATCAATAAATCCCAGATGTACTATAATAATTTTATAATAAACATGTGTACTTCTTATGTTTAATTGTCAAAATTCCGAGACACCAAAGGTATCTAGATATGTGATCAACAGCTCTGAATATGGACCTAACTTTTACCAGATTTACACCCGATTCATCATTGCCAACGTTACAGATGAATACAAAGATGTCACTTGCTGATCAGCTGTTCCTTTCAGTAGATGTCAAAACGTAATGAATATTCACGAAATAGTAATTTGACGTTTAGGCAACTTACTGCAAAATCGCTATTGTCACTTCGGAGTTACGTGACATGATTGATGTCTTTTAAGTTTTGCATATAGAAATAAAACAACGCGGTAGGTAGTTTTAAATAACTTTATTGTTTTTCGAAGTATTCTCCACGAAGATTAATACACATCTGCACTTATTCCACTCGTTTGCTGGCAGATCCAAAACGGCATTTTTGAATGCGTCAACTGCTTCTTCTGGTGACTGGAACCTTTGACCACGCAGTCTGTTTTTAATTTTCGGGAAAGTAAAGAAACCGTTAGAACTTAGGTCGGGACTATATGGAGGATGGTCCAATAATTTCACGTTTTCTTCCGTTAAATACTGCCTTGTTTTTTTGGGCTGTGTGCGAGCTTGCGTTGTCTTGGTGGATGATGATTCTTCTTTGATTTTTCGAAGCTCGGTGATGACTTTTGGCAAACAAATGGTGGTATACCAATCCGCAGTAACAGTTCTTTGCTCATTAAGAGCGATTGTTTCAATATGACCCGCTTTTGACACAAATATCGCGACCATCTTTTTCGGAACACTTCGAGAACGGATGGCTTTTGTTGGCCTTTCTTCACCTTGGAACACCCAAACAGCCGACTGTCGTTTATTTTCTGGTTCATAACAGTAACGATTCATCACCACTAACAATGCTGTACACATTTTTTGAGTTTCCGGAATTGAAACGGTCAAGCGTTTTTTGTCACCAATTAACCCTGGCAGCTTTCTGCTCTTCATTCAACAGGTGGGGTATCCAACGAGAAACTAATTTTCTTACTCCTAATTCTTCATGTAAAATTTTTTTTGAATTGAGGTCTTTGAGATATTCAAGGATGCCTCAATCTCGCAATATGTCACATGTCTATCTTCAGTGATGAGTTTGCGCACAGCATCGACGTTTTCCTGGGTGACTGCCGTTTTTGGTGCACCCATCCTGGGATCATCGCTAAGACTCACCCATCCACGTGTGAGTTCTCCATATCAACGGAAAATTGTCGACTGATGTGGCGTTTCGTTGCCAAAAACAGACAGTAACTCAGCAAGGCATTCTTGTTGCGATACTTGTCTCTGAAAGTTGTAATAAATTATGGCGCGAAAATGTTCTCGGTTGAGGTCCATTTTTCTTCTGACATCATGACACTTAAAAATTCACTGTAGTGAGAACACTCCACGTATTGTTGTGAAACTTTGAATTTAAGTTTACTAAAGAGTGAGGTTACTACTATGGTTCTATATGGAAAACTTAAAAGACATCCCCCGTAAGATTCTCGCATTCTTATCGTACTATGCTACCTGCTTCGGCATCTATTGTTGTCAAGTGGAATGGTTTTTATGCTATTTGAATAACGAGGGAACATGGGAAAGTGATTTTAATCCTACGAGACCAGCAATGATCTGATAGTTTTAGCAAAGCGGCTGTCATCTCTGAAGCAGTATCGAAATCTCATAGTAGACAACACACTCAACTAGTGAAATATCAACAAAATAAAACTTCTAAACCATGATATGCCCCTGATCTCTGTGATTAATAGGGAGTATTTAAAATGCATATTTCATCACCGGTTGATTAGCTTCTGACAATACGGTTACAGATAGCAAATACCAAGGTTATAAATCTTTGCAACCAGATATTTTGTCGAAGAGTAGAAACATCCCTAACGCGTCATTGATTGTTGCATGATTAGCTTCGCGAGATTATGTCGAATGAAAAATGTTGATTGCGAGATTCAAACAAGCACTTTCTGAGTTTCGTGTAACATTTTAGCTATCTTGCATGTAAATCATGGAAACAGAGCTGCAGGTACCTAAAACATTTATAAAATAGTGGTTTGCGAAAGAAGTTCATCTATATCAGCAGATCTGCTAGATTAGTTGTCCCTGTTTTGACTTGAGATAACGGACGCAGGTAACAGTACAAACGAAAGAAAGGTTTCTTTTCTGGGAAACGTTTTTCGTTAGAAAAAATAACTTGTATGTTTATATTAAAAATAACTTCTATGTTTATATGTTTCTTTTATAAGACTTACTACGTACAATTACTGGCTGCACTACAAATAATCAATTTTGAACTTGTAACACTCGTCGCCCTTAGGGAGCCACCTAAAGAACTACGCAGTCCATCTACTCGAAGCCATTTTTTCAATACAAACACAAAGCTTGACCCAGAAAACAATTCGCAAATGAACGATACGGCAAGGCAAACCTGGAAGGAGTGTGCGGATCGTCAAAGAAAGGAAAAGAAACATTAACAGCAAAGTTCTAAGCCTCGCAGAAATGACCGAAATGAGATTTTGGCGGATTTGCGTGATTGACGACCCACGCTTGTCAAAAGCATTCGTCGGGCTCAGGAACGCTCCATTCCCCAGAATGTTACTACCGCTGTAGGAGGTATTAAGGAGAAAGACGTTTCGGTTGAATTAAGCTAAAACGCGCGCTCCGTCGGAAACGTACTTATAATCCAGGAAACAGTTTCGTATAAACCTACATAAATAGGTTATCTTAGCCTACATCCACTCAAGGGCAAGATAGGAGGACCTTCGACACAAGCAAGTTGTGAACCTGTTGGAAAGTTTCATATTTGGTGCGCGAGAATGTGACACAATTTCCATATCGTAAGTTATCGAACTACTAATCCAGTTAGTAAATGTTTCTTTCAAAATTTCGCTTTCCACCAAGAATTTCTTCAAGTTTTGGGAAAATATAAAAGTCTGATGGTACTAAGTCGGGGCTGTATGATGGATAATTCAGAAGCTACTAACGAAACTTGTCCAGTTGCGTATGTGTGAGGCCGAGCGTTGTCGTGAGGTAGAACGACGCAGGTAGCGAGCAGGATCAGCTGGCGGTTTTGCATAGCAGAATAACGCACCTAGAAGGAACTTTTTTTACGGTTAAAAACGGTAGTGCTAAGCGCATTTCACAATCGACGTGTTTACTGATGTGACAAACAAAGCAGTATAACCACGTAACCAACACCAACAGAAGCGTGAAACGTAAGGGCGCGTAGTGAAAGACTGGCCAAGGGTGTCAACCGATTCTTACTTCAAAAAATGGCCCTCCTACATTCAATGTCAGAAAGGGTGAGCCAAATCTCCGTCAAATAAAAATGCTCGTCCATGTGCAAGATTGTAGATATCGGAACAAGCAAAGTTTCTTCTGACTGACTCTATTTGGGCGTTTCTCTTAACACACTTTTTGCTATTTTATTGTGATCTGGAAATTTGGCTAGAGAAGCGTGGAGTTCTATCTGGAAGTCTATATTTGAAAATCGATACAGTGACTAGCAGAAATGAGAACTGTCAAGAATTGAGTATTTTCTTGCATATTAGAAGCGGTTGTGGCGTTATTATTTTACGTATAACTTTTTTAATAGTCGTATTTATGACACTTTTTTAGTCACAGTTGATTTACACACATAGCCAAACATACAAGTATGACCTTAGTTTTAGTGTGTACATTTCATGTATATATACTAAGTGACATATAAATCCGAACACCCAGTTTAAATGGTTTTATTTTAATAAAATTTTGTATAAGTACTTAATGAAGCATAATAAGTAAATGATAAAAATTTCAAAATGATTGCACTGCTTTAAAGCCCTTTGACCTTTAATAATGTGTGGATGCACCCTGATGTGCTACGCATTCTCCAACGCGCCTAGGCATGGTTCTGATCAGGTGGTCAGTGTTCTCCTGTGGTATCTCATTCCAGGCAACCACCAACTCCTCTCGAAGTGCTTCTAAAGTCTGAGGAGGACGTTGCAAATTGAGCAATCTCTTACCCATCATATCCCACACGTGCTCCATTGGGGATAAGTCGGGAGATCTTGGTGGCCATGGTAACAATGTGACATCATTATGTTGAAAGAAGTCTATTGTGACTCTTGCAACATGTGGTCGGGCATTATCTTGTTGGAAAGTTGGATCTGCCAGGGTGTCAAGATAGGGTAAAAGATGGGGTTCTAGAACTTCGTGGATATAACGCTGCGCCTTCATGTTACCT